TTCGGATTTTGATTTTTTTTTTTTTTTTAGGATTGTGGGTGACACATTTTTGAGTGATGTTTCCTTTTGATTTGTTGCGTAAAGAATAGAGACTTTATCGGAATAAACCGAAGACACTATCGTGAGGTTTCTTTCTTTTTTTTTTAAATTATTTTCAAGTCACTTTTTGACCGTTCGACAAAATGTTTGATATTTACCCGAACTATGCCCTCAATTTTAGAAGAAAAATTTTATGATCTTTCTCTCTGTAAGAAATGTTCTAGTGAGCTCAGGAAAAATGAATTTGTAGTAAATTAGTCAAATTAATGAAGATTAATGTAACTTGGGTGCGAATTGCATTATTCTCTGCAAATTAGCATGCCAAATACTGTACCTTTAGTTTCCTTGTCTAAATGAACCTTGATTCATAATCCTTTGCGTTCGCCTTTTGTTGTGGTGAGTTTTTTGCACGAGCGTTTTTCTCTCCATACAAATCGCTCCAGCATTGCAAAAAAAATTAATGAAAATTATGTTCCTGTACAAACACGCATGGATGTTTTGCTTGCAGTTCATTGTTGTGTCGCAAATTTTTGTTTCCAATGTACAGTATGTGACAAATTATTTACAATATGCAGGGAATTGATCTCCCGCGATGTTTTACCCATCAAGGATAATTTGCATTCCATGCGGGTATCATGTGGGAAAGGTCAGTGACCTCTTATGAGGTCATTATCCTCAAAACGAGCGATGAAGCTACAAGCTTTCCAGCAGGTGCTTCCTTTGACCCAATACCGGTGAGTTATTTTATGTTTACCTCAATAAGCAGTTTAATTTGCTTTTAATTACTCACTAGCAATAAAAAAAGAATGTCTTCTTCCAAGAATAAAAATGTGACTCGGTTCGATGCAAACCATCGATTTTCAAGGAACGAATTATTGAAAAACTTGTCCGTCTTCCTTCCATCAAAACAGGAAGCGTGTGTGTTTTTGAGTGAAGTGCGACATGGAATGTTTTAATTGGTGCCGGAAGCAGGTGATTAAGTGATGAACAACCTGTCCACGTTAGTTTCGTGTTACATCTAATTACTCGCCCGTATATTAATGCATATATACTGTATATGCGTGGATTATGAATTTTGCCGATCGTCGCAAGCTGGTGGAAGCTTGTCACATACAAGATATGCAGGTGATGCTTGGTTATTAATGAGTTTTTTATGCATGAAAAATTCCTCTTTGGGCTTGAAAAAAAAGAGCATATGTTCAATGTGGTTTTATGGGTTTGTTAAACTTGACGTGGCCCGTATATGTGCTAGAATATGCGCCGCATCATTTTACAGAGAAGATGGCGGAAAGCAGGTGCTGATTAATATTCAATTTATTGTATAGTCAATATTTAGACGCATTCAAGTACAGTATATTTTTTATTTTGCATTTGAATATTTCACAGCAGCACTTGTTCAAGTTTTCTCATTTATACAAAAACACATTTTTGACGGAGTTGACTTTTTTTTCAATATCTCCTGAATGGTTTGAATAATTATTCATGATTCAAACAGTTTATATTCATGATTGTCATAGCTCGAATTTTTCCGCAGATTTTAAGATCGGAAAAAGTAGATTTCAAGATTAATCGCTCTATTTTTTCCTCGTTGTGCTTGAAAAAAAAGGAATTTTTTATCTAAAACCTCTGTAAGTCAAATTTTCTGAGGCCTTCTGGTTATTATTTCCTTGAAATATAAAAGAGAAAATGATTAAAACAAATACTGTAATTTGATGCATCTTGAAAGGAATTGAAAGACAAAAATAGCAACTGAACCCCTGCCTCCAAGTTCAGAAAGGGGTAAACTCATTAAGAAGTTAGTTTTGGCCCAGAATATCCTCATTCATGATTTCCCCCACTTTTTTCACTTCTCCTCACAAAAAAGTGTGTTTGTTTCTCAAATATAAACCTCCAAAAATCAAAACCTCCTTAAGTCGAATTTTTTTCCTGGTCCCTAGAAATTCGACTTATAGAGGTTCATCTGTACTGTCCTTAAATAAAAAAGGAAATTTTTTTCAACATGACTCAAGGAAGTTTTTTTTTTAATTGAAACAATAAGTACTGTACTGTACATGAAATAAAATCAAAATTAATACCTATGATACTTATAAGTAAGTGAAATATATTATTTCTAGACCCAAGAAAAACACTGGCTCTCATTCAACTTGCGAGATTTCAAGATGGAACTGTAACTTTCATTGGTAACAAGTTGAAGATATGCGAAGAAGAAGCGAATTGCGCAGTTCCTCATGTTTGAACTCAGACCAGAGTGCATATACTGTACAATGTATATTTGTGTATGTATATTCGAATAAGAATGCATGAACTTGTACTTCGTGGTACAGTATTTGTACCAAATATTTACACTTTCGCATGTGATAAGCAGCGGCTTGTGTTTCTTCACCCACGTGTCTGAGCTCACAGCTCCAACCAATGGTATATATTCTATAGTTCATGCATGATTTTCCCAAGCCAAAGAACTGCGCAAATCAGGCAAATTTTTGCCAGGAATTTTTGCATTATCGGGGTGATCGTGAATTTTTTTTTTTTGCATTTTGACAGAAAATTCGACAGACAAGGAAACACAAATTCCACTCAGCGTGTGAAATAAAATTTAATCTGGACTTCCGAAGTTAAATTATAAATTCAATTTTACGCGTTGTCAATTTTACATTTTTTTAAATCGAGAAAAATTTGCGCATGTTGTGCTGAAATTGTGAGAAACGAATCGAGACTTTTGGAATTGCTTGTTTTTTTTATATTCCATTGTGTGATCATCGCAGATTACGAAAGGCTTTCGAAATTTCCCTCGAAGTTTGTCGCGAATGATAAAATCAACTGAAAATTACTTGAGTTTTTAAGCAGTTATTTTTGCGAAGAAGTCTTCAAATATTTATAATATTTTTTTACTTTCTTTCTACAAGAAAACCAATAAAATGCATTTTTCCTTATATCTTGGAAGTGCTCATGAATTGCTGAATTCAGCTTTGCAAAATATTCACAGATTTTACGCGTATGTTCAGAAGCGTTTTTGGGAAATGCCAAAAATATTATATTATGAAAATAACAAGTCAATTTAATTTAAGTACGTCCCGAAACCAGTGATTATATTTTTAGGAATGTTTAAAAGTTCATTGTTCCAAATTAATATACGCTGCTGTCGCTAAATATTATTCTTTTAACCACTTTGTCGCATTTCAGAGATTTTTAAACCCGTTTTAATAAACCTTTTTTCTCGAAATGTTCGATCATTTTTTTTTTGCATTATACTTCGTCGCAGAAAGTTGGTAAGCCATCATGATGAGTCATTTTTTTCCTTGTTGAAAGTTTAAAAAAAATCGGATCTCTGCTTGAGTTATATTTTTATTGTGTTCAAAGGCTCGTCTTACTTTTTACTCCGTGGACTGGAAAGAGAATTGAATTGGTTTCAAGAACCCAAGGTTTCGGAGGAAAATGGTTTTGAATATCCTGTTATTGAATATAGAATCTTGTTAATTTCTGAGCAACTCCAGGGAATTTCCAAAACAAAACAAAACAATAACCTTGTGCGTAGAGTATTCCATTCTGAAGATTATGTCATGGGTTATTCCCATGCTGCATCCTGTTCGAAAATAAAATCGAAAAATAACTTATGCAAAACGTCGATTCATCTGCTTTTGTGTGTGTTTTTTCTTGTTGAAGGACCATTTTTTTTATTGGTACTGTCGAACAGTGAAAGAGTGACAATGTTATAAAAATTCAAGTGTAATAGGAAATGAAACCTCAAATTTGATGATACTGTATTAAAAATTTTGTAATTTCTTCAAAAATACTGTATTTATTTTTCTATCAAACAATCAATATAATCCTGGGATGAGTAAATATTATCTAGCTGATTTTCTGAGGAAGTAATTTATGTCATGTTTGTGTTGTTTTTTATTTATTTACAGTGAGACCCTAGATGCAGAAATACTTGGTGCATCTAGATTGTCCCTAAGTTGAGTCTCATTTTCCCACAGACTTAAATTATATAAATTTTAATTGGTGTTTTATGCAAGAAATATTATTCAGAATTTCATGGGGAAAAAATTTTGCCGCTTGAATTTGATTCAGTGAATATATTTTCAACTCAATAAGAACATTTGGAGCATTGAATAGTATACCTCTGTGCAGTACATTGAAATGTTGGCATCAGTAAAAATAACATTCAATTTGCAAAGAGAGGAAGGAAGTCCCTCTATGCTATAGGAAATTTTTTTCAAATTAGCTGGATGGATGGGAAAAGGATGGGATAGAAATACCAAAAGCTTTTTCTTGCATAAATATTAGGGTTGGAAATATCTGTTTCTTGCAATTAAGCCTAATAAAAGTCAAATTTACTACAATTTTTTGGAAATTTTATCATGCAATGTCCACATGTTGAGTTGTCCACATGTGGGGGTTTTTCTAGAGACCTTTCCCAGAAACATTGAATTGTGCTGCCAGGGGGTAATTGAAGACAAAATAAATTGGCAGGAGCATATTTGAGTTTTCAATAATTTTGCTGATGGCTTTTTAACTGGGTTTCCATATTGCTATTATCATTAGGAAAGATTTACTTTTTTTCTTATATTTATGGTTGTCTTAACAGGGTTTGACTGTACTGTACACAAGAAAGCTCTCTTGTACTGTAAAGCTGTTTGCAACTCATGGGTGATTTTTCAGAATCTTCTCGTTGGTGTTCAGAAATTAGAGAAATATTTTACTATGTAAGAGAGCCGCAGGCAGGGAAATAAAAGGACAGAGGGTGTTTCTTTGTGTATGGTTTGACCAAGGCGAGGTCAAATTCATGGGCCGGGGAAGGCCCACCTGCGGCACCCATCGCACCTGTCTTTCCGAGCTTTATATACACGAGGGTTGTTTCATACGTTTTGTGACTATTTCAAATACAGGTTAATCTGGATAACTTGAACCTCCGTAAGTCGAATACCCCTCTAAGTTAAATTTTTCTTTTCAGATCCCCATTTGAATCCCCTTAGAAATAATACATATTAAAAACCTCCCCAAGTCAAAGGCT